TGTCCTTTGAAGAAGTGGGTTTGTGCCTTGTTTGTTTGTGTTCCTCTTTTTTTCTGCTGTGGCTACCTATCCTTTGTGTTCTCTCTCTCCTTGTATCTCTTTGAAGTTCAGGGCCATTTGGTGGACACATCTCTCTTCCTCTTTATTTAGTAGCTACATTTCTTTTCTTTGGATATTTGAAAACCTTCTTGTCTAGTTCCTTGTGTTTTGCCTCTATGCTTTTGGCTGTAGCATATATGATTATTTAGGAAATGAAACTAAAAATGAGATTTTGAGCCTACTTTTAAGAGGCTATATCTCCTCAGTGACCTCAGTTTAGGCCAAATAAGTGAACAAGACTGCTCATAACTTAAGCAGGCTTGACTGCTCTTGACCTGGATACCTGTCTCCTGCATTTAAGCCTGGTTGGACATGACATGATTTGACATCATTCAGCCTGAGTTGGTTACATGTCCATGCACATATTTTTTATAGCTAATAAAAGATGAAAAACTATTATATATATTCATTATAACAGGGCACATGGTCATACCTAAAATAAACTATAATACTGGACAACAATTTTTTTATTATAGAGATAAATAAAATAACTTGGATGAGGGATGTCAGTGATCCAGATTTTTGCTGCTTGAAGCAAATGAACTACAGGCATGGATATGTAGTCACTTATTTAACCCAATGGGTCTGGGTATCAGAAATCTCTCTGCGTCATAAAATCTGGTGATTTCTGACGTCCATACACTTAGTGTGGGAATCCGCTCATATAGTGGAACTTCCTGCTCCACACACTTTGGCACCATGTACCTGCACCCCACAGACCAAGCAGTTTGTTTTGATGGGTGTACACATGACCTGCCTGGATGGGGTTAAAAGAAAGGGAGAATTCTATGCTTTCTCTGCTCTTGCACTCATGACAGTGTGCTTTTGGCCCTGTTCCTATTTCTGTTGTGAGGGCAGGCTGCATTCTATTGTTTCTTCTGCCCATGTGTTCCCCTCCCACCTAATGGATCCATGGGCTGTCAGCAGTGGTCTCCTGTCCCATTTGTATGTCATGCTATATTGATCCTTCCTAGTTTGCCATGTTGCTCACTTCCAGGGGACTCTCCAGAGTCACTTGTTCGTTTTGTCATTGTCAGTGTTATACCCTATCAACATTCCATTGCCAAGTCTGGCTTGTGACAGAGTCATGATGGCCAACTGGCTTTCTCTGATTCCCTCAAGTCTCAGTATTCCATGGTTTAGTTGGGACCTAAGGTTAGATAATAATTACACTTGGTTTTCTCCATTTCACCTGTGGTACAAATCCTGATGAAAGGGCCTCATCTTATTTTGAAGGTCCTAATAAACCGCCAGTATGCTCTACAATACCCTTTTAGTCTAAACCTGTTAGAGCAATCCCCTCCATATTGGATTTTTTTTCACAAAGCAATGTTAATTCAAGTACTCACTGTTGGTCTTCTACTTCCCTCCCTGGCCAAAAATAAATCCCTGAGTCATGCTTTGGGACCAGTTATTGTCTCTACATAGATAGAGAGGTGATTCCGCTATGCCTTATAGCCAATGGATCCAATACAAGCATCAAGGCTATGGCTGGATTGTCACTGACCATGCTCTCAATTTTATATCACTTACTGTCTTCCAGTGAGTTATACAGCATGAGGACCTAGGTTCTACACCCATGTCTCAGCAGCTCTGCAGTTAGCTATTGACTGTGGAGGTTTTCCAATCTTTTGTTGTCAGTTGGGCCCTTTGAGAAGGTCTATAGGAACCTCTCCATATGTCAAGGATTTTTGTATAACATTTTCAGTTTTCTGCATTTATTATACCCTGTTGTATCCAGTTTCTAGGCAGAAGAAAACACTAGGAAATGAAAAAGGTTTGGAGCATGCAGATACCCTTCATTCCTCTTTTTATCCAATGCCCTTTGTCATATGAAGTTTTCCTTGTGTAGTGGTTGGGGTTGGGGGATACAGTGGCAATAAATGATATTTTTTTTCTTGGTATTGTGAACCATATTTGATATTAGTTGACTATCCACAACAGCAAATAAATACCCAATTTTTTTGACATTCCAAAGCTTCAAATGGCTTAGCTTTACTATTCCATATTACAGTAAAAATAGCCTTTTTTTATGAAAAATGTACATATTTAAGCAAAAAAATACTTCACCCAAAGAAATGCCATAAATAAATCAGTAGTATCAGATAACTATGAAAGATTACTATATTTTTTCATATAGTTGAGATTTTAGACTGGCTTCAGCCAATGTGTGCATTTTGGGGGGCAGCCATGCAGTCAGTCAAGCGGGTATATCTGTATGGGCCGCATCTGTAGGGATGCCACCTGGCACTATGCTGCCATGGCATTATAGAAGAGGCCACCCGTGAACTAGGGACTAAGAAAGAAACAACAAAAATTATTCCTTTCCTAGGAATTTTATTAGACCTGTTCAAAAGTAAAACACTCAGGAAGATTTTATTCTGGATATTATAATGAAAATAGTACTACTTTTATTATTTTCTTGATTATGTCACTTGATTTTTCAGCTACTATAACTTTTGCTGATCATGGATAATTGCCTTTGGACCTTTGTATTAATTATTGAGGCCAGGAGAGCATTTATATCCACATATCCACTGTAATTGTAGTTTATTAATTTTATTTATAATGGCTCCACAAGTTAATAAGTCACCTTTTTACCCTGCTCTTTGAATTTTTAGAAAGAAAAAAAAAAAAAATTACTTTTGATATTGTTAACCCAATGCCACAGGGTTGGCATTTATGTACATGCCATGGCTACTGTAAGTTTGATTTCTTAATTGTTTTAAAACATGGATGGCTCCACAAGTACTAAGTCAATAGAGCTAGCTACAAGTACTACAAGTACCTGTTTACCCTTTTCCTTGATTTTCTCAAATATTTTCTGGTATCTTATATGGCTGTTAGTAATGACAATATCACTATGATAGTTAGAATTCTTATGATAAAAATAACAGCTTTGATATTGATAGCATTTGTTAACCCCTTGGTGCAGGGTGACGCCGATCGGCGTACAAACAAACCGCTCGAAAGCTGGCATGCGGCTGTACGCCACGGCGGCGAGCCAATGATACCGGCTGATGTCCCCTACTCACGCGCTCAAAGTCGGTGCGCTGCCTTTGTTTGCTAGAGCGTATATTTTTTTTTTTTTTTTTTTTTTTTTCTTTTTTTTTTTTGTACACCTGGCGTCATTGGGTTAAAAAATGAAACTCAAGGAAAGGTGAAATCATGTGAGATCACAAGGTTTACTAATTGACTCCTTTATGGATAACCACTTGCAGAGACATTTCACAAAATACTATAGTGAACACAACAATTTCCTGGCTTAGTATTTGCCTTCTTGGTTACTAAGGACTTGTGGAGCCAAAACAAATGTAACTGCAGTGGACAATGCATTTACCCCTGCCCGGTGGGTTAGGCAGAACATGATTCTTTACCAGTACTACCTCTTTCCAGATGATTCAACTAAGGACTGACCTCAGTCCTTGGACTAGCAGTAAAGAGTTCATTTCATCCCCATCTTTCAATCTTTACTCACTCTAATATCAGAGTTTGTACTAATCCATCCATACCTACTTCTGCAAATCAGATTTATGGTGTAAAGAAGTGTTGAATGCATCTTTCTTCAGTGTTCACCATTACCATTCATAAAGTGGTTATCTCTATAAATGAACTGATATTGTTTATTAATATTATTATTATTATTATTATAATAATAATAATTATTATTATTATTATTATTATTATTATTATTATTATTATTGTTATTATTGTTATTTTCATCATTAGTAGTAATAGTAGTAGTAGTAGGACTGCAACTACTACTATTACTATTACTGTTACTGTTATTACTACTACTACCACTTCTTCTACTACTACTACTACTACTACTACTGATGATAATAATAATAATAATAATGATTATAATAATAGAACTACTACTACCATTACCAGTACTACTACTTTTACTGTTACTGCTATTACCATTACTACTACTATTACCATTACTGCTATTATTACCATTACTACTATTATTACCATTACT